AGTAAGGGACTGCCTTTAAAGTTCTTTTGGTACTGGACAGTGGTCCTGGTGAACCCACACAGAACCCGCATGAGTTCAACACTGAAGACATTGAAGTGATCTACTTGCCCCAAACACAGTCTTTGATTCAGCCTCTAAATCAGGGGGTCATAGTGACCTTTAAGGCTCTTTACCCACAGTACTCTATAGAAAGGATTGTCTGCACTATGGAAGAGAACTCTAATAGAACCTCATGAAAGTCTGGAAGAATTACACCCCTGAAGATGCCATCATTGTTTTAGGAAAAGCTGTGAAGGCCATCAAGCCTAAAATAATAAATTTCTGCTGGAGAAAACTGTCTAGATGTTGTACCTGACTTCACAGGGTTTACAACAGAGCTAATCTAGGAAATAATGAAAGAGATTTTGGATATGGCTAAAAGGTGGGGAGTGAAGGGCTTTTTAAATTTTTTTTTGGGGATGGAGTCTCGCTCTGTTATCCAGGTTGGAATGCAGTGGCACAATCTCAGCTCATTGCGACCTCTGCCTCCCGGGTCAACCTGCCTCAGCCTCCCGAGTAGCTGGGACAACGGGTATGTGCTACCACACCCAGCTAATTTTTTGTATTTTAGTAGAGACAGGGTTTCACCATGTTGACCAGGATGGTCTCGATCTCCTGACCTCATGATGCGCCCACCTCAGCCTCCCAGAGTGCTGGGATTACAGGCATGAGTCACTGCGCCCAGCCTGAAGCATTTTAAGATACCGGTCTTGGCTGGGCGTGGTGGCTCATGCCTGTAATCCCAACACTTTGGGAGGCCGAGGCGGGCAGATGATGAGGTCAGGAGATAGAGACCATCCTGGCCAACATAGTAAAACCTTGTCTTTACTAAAAATACAAAAATTACCTGGGTGTGGTGGTGGCGCCTGTAGTCCCAGCTACTCGGGAGACTGAGGCAGGAGAATCACTTGAACTTGGGAGACAGAGGTTGCAGTGAGCTGAAATGGTGCCACTGCACTCCAGCCTGGCGTCAGAGAGAGTCTGTCTCAAAAAAAAAAAAGATATGGGTCTTGAAATTCAAGAGCTAATAGATAGACACCTTGATGGAGATGGGTGCTTCCAAATGAGTGCCAGACAGTGAGGAAGACATAGAAAAAGCAGTGCCAGAAAACAAATCGACCTTACAGCATCTGGCAGGGTTCTGATTATTCAAGACTGCTTTTGACTTCTGTGCACTCGTCTATGATACAGACACTGAAACTAAAGCAGATGGCAGAAGAAGAATTGGTACTGTATAGAGACATTTTTAGATACATTAAGAAACAAGAAGGTTAGAGGGAACTTACAGTGTGTTTCCGTAAAGTTACGCCGAGCATGCCTGCCTCTCCTGCCTCCCCTTCCAGCTCTTCTGCCTCTGTCACCTCGGAGACAACAAGCCCAGCCCTTCCTCTTCTTCCTCCTCTTCAACCTATTTACTGTGAAGACGAGGATAAAGACCTTTATGATGATCCACTTCCACTTAATAGTAATATATTTTTTCTTCCTTATGATTTTTTTCTAGCTTCATTGTAAGAATATAGCATATAGTACATATAATATATAAAATATGTATTAATCAGCTATTCATGTTATTAGTAAGGCTTCCAGTCAGCAGTAGGCTATTAGTAGTTAAGTCATTGGGAAGCCTGAAGTTATATACAGATTTTTGACTGTGCCAGGGGTCAGCATCTGTAACTCCTCTGTTCGAGGGTCAGTGGTATGCCACTGTTGTAGAGTGGCTCCGGATGGAGAGAGGAAGTACGGTAAAACAAGTACATCTTGTTGCAGTAAAAAGTAACCTGAAGTAGATGATTGTCTGTCTAGACCAAAGAATAAAACATTTTAGCTTTGCATCTTAAAGTATCTTGGTGGTCTCCTAGGAAATTTGGTACTTCTTAACAGAGTTACTCTACCTTAAAAAGAAAATTTAAAATCTTAAGTCAGTTATCAATATTGCATCTTCAATATTTTTGTTTCACACTGTCAGTCTTTTATTCTCTGTGTTTGCTTGATCGTAACTCAGGTTTTCCTCTGGATCTCTTACGCTGTGAAAGCCTTCTTGGTCTGGACCCTGCAACTTGCAGCAGAGTTCTAAACAAAAATTACACGCTGCTTGTTTCCATGGCTCCCCTCACCAATGAAATCCGGCCTGTCAGCAGCTGCACCCCTCAGGTAAAGACCTACTTGGAGGATCCACTTGGTAGTGTCATGGGTCCCGTCAGTTTTGGTTTCTTCTCTATCTGCAGATACCAACTATTAATAATCACTGAATCATAGAAAGCAATTTTGTATTTTATGCCTTTGTAAGATGATATGTTCAATTTGTGGAGTGTAATTGGTATATTTTATGTATGTATCACCTAGTGACTTGTGACACATTAGATTAAAATTTATTCATTTACAGAATATTTTAAAGAGAATGTTTTAGGATGCTCCAAAAAGGAAGCTGGCATCATTTTGAGGGATCAGATAAATTTAATTAGGAAAAGTTAAATGTCTTCGAAGTGGGGCTGTGATTCTGAATAAGCTGAAAAGAAAAGATGGTGCTTGAAAGCTAGAACTCTGGTTAACTGTATAATTTATATGTGAAAATTCCTTCTGGAGTTTTACTTAAGAAAAAAAAAATATATATATCAGTTGCATTCATTTGTATACTTAACAAGGAAGTTGTGGCCTGTACCATTTTCAGAGTGGAGATTATGTTGCTGTTCTTCAGTGCTACATCTTACCTGGTTTCCTAGATAATGCAGGGTTCAATGATGTAGCAGAAAGGAAGGGATTCTTGTACACAGTTAATTTGCCTATGTTCTAGCTGCCTCAGTGAGGATTCTGTCTTCACACCGATTTTGTCTTTAATATTCAACAAGAGATTTGCATCTAACCTTTTTAAAATAATTCTTTGTGCACACCCCCCAACCTCCTCCTATTCTTTAATACAACCTCCAGACATGGTAGGAATCCATGAACTGCTGAATAAATGGTAAAATGGATGGAAGGGTAGGTGATTCCTTTTGTGAAAATTGTATGTGATTAATGATAATAATAGCTAACACTTTAATATCAAGTTTATTATATTCCAGGTACTATTTTTAAGCTTTTTCAACAACCTTACAGCATCCTCTTGAGGTAGATTCTTTATTGCTATTTTATAGATTGAGCAAAATGAGGCACAGAGAGCTTAAGTAATCTTCTTAAGGTGATACGGCTGGATGGATAAAACCAAGATTCCAAACTAGGCAGTCTTCTCCAGAGTCCGTTCTCTTAATTGAAGTGACAAGACATACTTTCTTAATTCCAGTATAAAATTGAAACTATTTTAATGAAACATTTAAAATTTATTTTCATGAGGATAATTACAGTTAACATTTATGTGAAGGAATTTGCTGTTTGTAATACAGACTGTTCTCGGTCATTTATGTAACACTTTATTATAACTTTATCTTAACTGTTCTATGATTGTAGCATATTGGACCAGCTATCCCAGAAGTCAGCTCTGTCTGGTTTAAACTGTACATTTATCATATCACTGGACAAGGACCACCATCCCTTTTATTGTCCAAAGGTACAAGACTTCGAAAACTGCCAGATATATTTCAGGTATGTGTGTGAGGTTTGGATGGTTTTTTTGTGTGTGTGTGTGAGCAGTACGCTAGATAACTTCTTAATATTTTCCTTATTTCTGAATGCCATTTTACCTGTTAATTTCTTTTCAATAGAGTTATGATCGATTGCTAATAACATCTTGGGGTCATGATCCTGGAGTAGTTCCTACCTCAAATGTGCTTACGATGTTGAATGATGCTTTAACACATTCTGCAGTTTTAATTCAGGTACATTTATCTTATTTGAAATAATCAATTTTGAGTTTTTATTATAAAGATGATAATTTTTCTAGCTTTCTATATTGAGTTGTAATAAAATATCAGTCATTTGAAATTTATAAAGTTGAATGTAAAAAATCAGAGATGTGGATTTTAGTCCTGGCCCTTTGGCAGTGTGGGAGTGGCAGAAATAACATGAACTTTGAGGTTAGACCCAAGTTTGCATTGCAGCCTATCTTCTGCTAGCTGTGTGACAACAATTTTTTTTTTTTTAATAATAGCTTTACAGTAGTTTCCCCATCTGTGGAGGATATGTTCCAGGACCCCCAGGGGATGCCTGAAACCACCAATAGTAACCCTATATATAGTATGTGTTTTCCTATACATGCGTACCTATGATAAAGTTTCATTTATAAATCAGACACAGTAAGAGATTAACAATTACTAGTAAGAAAATAGCATGCTGTAATACAAGTTATGTGAATGTGGTCTCTCTCAGAATATCTTGTTATACTATACTCAGCTATTTTCAGACCTTGGTTGACCACAGATAGTAACTAAAACCATGGAAAGCAAAACCTCAGATAAAAGGGAACTACTGTATTGAATATATAATTCACATACTGCACAACTCACCAATTTAAATTGTGCAGTTTAGTGGGTTTTAGTGTGTTCACAGATATGTACAGCCATCACCACACTCAATTTTAGCACATTTCATTACCTTAAAAAGAAACCCTGCATCCTTTCGTGATCACTCTTCTATTTTCTCCCCGCTACTCCCCTCCTTCCCCCTAGTCTTAAACAACACTAATCTACTTGTTGTCTCTACGGATTTTCCTACTCTGGGCATTTATATGCATGGAATCATATATAACATGTGGTCTTTTGTGACTGGCTTCCTTCATTTAACATAATGTTTTCAAGGTTCATCGTGTTGTATCAATACTTCATTCCTTTTTATGGCCAAATAATGTTCCATTGTATGGATATGCCACGTTTTGTTTATTCCTCCATCAGTTGATGGACATGTGGGTTGTTTTCACCTTTTGGCCGTTATGAAGAATGCTGTCATAAACATTTGTGTACAAGTTTTTCTGTGGACATATGTTTTCATTTCTCTTGGCTATATATATATAGGGATGGAATTACTGGGTCATATGGTAATTCTATGTTTAAGCATTTAAGGAACTGCCAGACTGTCTTGCAAAGTGGCTGCATCATTTTACATTCCCACAGACACTTGATATTATGTGGCTTTTGGATGAAAACCACCCTAGGGGGTGTAGAGTGGTATCTCATTATAGTTTTGATTTACATTTTCCCTATGGCTACTGATGTTGAGCCTCTGTGTGTGCTTATTGGGCTGTGTGGCATTTTTGTGATAAACCTTACAGTTTATTTCCCACCTATAACATGAAGATGCCAGTATCTATTGTATAATAACAAACACTTATAATAATAGCCGCTAATGGTAAGGTAGGCAGTTTATGCTCATAGAATGAAATGAAAATGTACTTATCAAATCTGTAACACACTTTCTGGCACACAATAGATTATCTGTAAAGATTTTGTCAGTTCATCCATCTTAACAATTGAATGTGCTTATTTTGTGCTAATTAATGTGAATATGCAAATAAGACAGGGCCCACCATCTTCAAGGAATTTAAGGATGGTGGGAAAAGGTGCATAAGCACTCAGTTTCAGTTTATCGAATAGAATTACATATAGTGGAAGACTTAAAAAGATGTATCCAGTCCAGCCTTGGGGCAAGGAGAAGGGCTTAGGGGAGGTTCCTTAGAGAAAGTGAGACCCAGGCTGAATACAAAAGGAGGGGTCAGGATGATTAAATCTCTGGGCAAGGATTTTTTTTTTTTTTTTAATTTGCTGCTATTTTTCTAGTGCCCAGCACAGTGCTCAGGTCATAGTAGTTGTCCAGTTAGTGTTTGTGGAATAAATAAATAAGAATATGAAGTGACATAGCATGCCAGGGCCAATAGCTGTTCGGTGTTTTTGAGGGGTGAGTTGGAGTGTGAGGGAGTTGTGGTCAGAGATGAGTCTGAAGAAGTAGGTGGGCCCTGCAGTGCCACGTGCCTTGAGTGTTCTGCTGTGGAGCTGAGACGTTGACCTGTAGATTCATGGTAGCAATTACAGGGGGGTAACTGGGATTAACATGGTCAAATGTGTTTTAGGAATCAACCTTGGGATGATATTGAGAATGGAAGGGAGTGGGGAGACACCTGAAATAAGAATACCAGTTAGGACTGTGTGTAGTAGTTCAGATAAGAGATGAAGATAGCCTGGATCAAGGACATGGTAATAAGAATTGAAAGGAAAAATGGATTTAAGAACTACTACAGATATACAATTAATAGAATTGATCAGATATCTGAGAAAGAGATGGGAAGAGGGAAGAAAGATTCTGAGGTATTTGGCTTATGAAGGTAGAAGGGTGGTGATACCACTACTCTAGCAAACGCGGGAGGTGGTGATACCACTACTCTAGGGAAACGGGAGGAAGTGATATCGCGGGAGGTGGTGATACCACTACTCTAGGGAACACGGGAGGAAGTGATATCGCGGGAGGTGGTGATACCACTACTCTAGGGAACACGGGAGGAAGTGATATCGCGGGAGGTGGTGATACCACTACTCTAGGGAACACGGGAGGAAGTGATATCGCGGGAGGTGGTGATACCACTACTCTAGGGAACACGGGAGGAAGTGATATCGCGGGAGGTGGTGATACCACTACTCTAGGGAACACAGGAGGAGGAGCACATTTATGGGGCAGTTGATGCATTGTGTTTATGTGGTGCCTGTGGTAACTGGAAATATTCTGAAATTCAGATGAGAGGTTAGACAAGAGTGATTAAGTGTGTCAGCATCAGCTGGTAGATGGTAGTTGAAACCATGAGAGGATGAAATTAGCCAGGGAAAATATGTAGTATGGGGTAGTCACGGGAGATAGCATCATAGAATGGGCTAGACATGGACTTAAGTCAGACTGCCTAAACTCAGATCTTGGTTCCATCATTTGCTAGTAATCTTGGGCAAGTTAAATACCTTTTGTGTCTTTACCTATAAACTGGAGATAAAGTTCCTATCTTTTTAAGGTTTTTGAAAAGAATGACTTGAGCACTGTGTTTAGCACATGGGAAGATCTCAGAAAATGTTACTGTGTTGGTAGTGGCAGTAGAAGTAGAGTGAAGGAACAATGGGTGATTCTATGAGCTTCAATTTTCCTTACCTTTAAAATGAAGAGTGGCTGGGTGCAGTGGCTCACACCTGTAATTCCAGCACTTCGGAAGGCTGAGGTGAATTGCTTGAGTCCAAAAGTTGGAGACTAACTTGGTTAACATAGTGAAACCCTGTCTTAATTTATAGTAACAAATCTTTTTTTGAATAAAGTAAAATGAGAGTGGTGGTTGCCACGGTCATTTCTGTAGGTGGTACTCTGTAGGTCAAGCTAAATTAGGTTTTTTTTTTTTTTTGGGTGGGGGCTAATGCAAAATATGGATAGAAAAACAACCAAATCAGCAGACAGTACCTGTTTTTATTTTTTTGAGACACGGTCTCACTTTGTCACCCAGGCTGAAGTCAGTGGCATGATCACAGCTCACTGCAGCCTTGACTTCCCCAGGCTCAAGAGATCCTCCTGCCTTAGCCTGTATAGTAGCCGGGACTGCAATCTCACGCCACCATGCCTGGCTAATTTTTTGTAGAGACAGGGTTTCACCATGTTGCCCAGGCTGGTCTCGAGCTACTGGGCTCAAGTGATCCACCTGCCTTGACCTCCAAAAGTGCTGGGCTTACAGGTGTGAGCCACCACACCAGGCTGACAGTACTGTTTTTAAAGTGTTTATTAAGGAGTTTTGCTTTTGCTAGAGAAAAATGCCTTTTTAATTAAATTTGATGGAAATAAATTTACCTTATTGGAATTTTAAACGTGTTACAAATTAAGATTTTTAGTTAAAACCATAATTTATTGCAGCCATCTGGTTTAGGGAATCAAAAGAGAGCTCTGAGAAATGTATTTAAATTGTTATATGAAACAACGGAAAGAGTATGCTTTCCTTCGGATAGATCAGGGTTTCTTGAAGTTGAATAATGTATGGGTCTCTCTTAAAGGGAAAAATTTACAGATCCTCAGTATTATATTTCTATTATAACAGTTCTAAATACATGTAGACATTAAGTTAAATTCTTCATGCTTGTTGTTATTACACAACTACAAATTCAAATCAAATTTTGGAATTAAATATAAGCAAAGCTTTAAAACAAAACTCAAATGAACAATATTAATTGAACGTGATACATGAAACTGAATTACCATTTGCAACATGAGAGTGAAGTGGGTAGACTCAGATTTTTTAAATTTAATTTTTGAACTAATAGTACATTCACATGATTCAAAAATAAAATATTATTAAAGGTATAGAGCCCAGGTGCAGTGGCTCACACTTGTAATCCCAGTACTTTGGGAGGCTGAGGCAGGTGGATCACCTGAAGTCAGGAGTTTGACATCAGCCTGGTCAACATGGACAAACCCAGTCTCTACTAAAAATACAAAAAAAAAGTTAGCCGGGTGTGGTGGCGGGTGCCTGTAATCTTAGCTACTCGGGAGGCCGAGGCAGGATAATTGCTTGAACCTGGTGGGTGGAGGTTGCAGTGAGCCAAAATTGTGCCATTGCGCTCCAGCCTGGGTAGCAGAGCAAGACTCTGTCTTAAAAAAACAAACAAACAAAAAAAAGCGTATAGAGAGAAGTATTACTTCCCTGCTAACCCTGTCTACCAAGTTTCCACTCCCCATCTCTCTTCCAAATCAGATAATTTCATCTGTTCATTTCTCCTGTATCCTTCCAGAGTGTCTTTATGCATATGCAAGTATCTGCACACAGATATGCTCCTTACCTTTTCCATTTAGCAGCTGGAGATCTTTCCATTGCAGGTCATAGCTTTCTTTCATTTATGCACCTCCACTGAAGTTATGTCTCCTAATTTAATTAACCAGTCCCCTGTTGGTGGACATTTTGGTTGTTTCCAATTATATGTAATTATAATATTATAGCAAGTAATTCTGAATATATTTTATTTCAGGGCAGGTTTTTGAGTTTTGCACTCTTAACCTGTGGTATGCTATGTGATTATGGGGATTCTTCTGCCACTTTTCCTTCTCAGAACTCTAGCTAACCTTTGTGTGAATAAACTTGGCCTCATTCACTCTTCACTTGGCTAACACCTGATTTACCTGTTAAATTAGCCTCCTTTTTTTGCATTGGCCTATACATTCAATTTGAGAAACATTGCTTTATAAGTTATTACACACGTAAGATTATCACTGCTTGCTGTAGAAAAATAGAAAATTGTTGAAAGAATTTTGATGAGGTATTAATATGGAATATACTATTATGCGACACAATCTTATCTACTTTTGAATATCAGTGATTGGAAGTGAAGGTTTCTTGTATACCTTTTAACTTTTGTTTATGTTTAGGGGCATGGTTTGCATGGGATAGGAGAAACTGTCCATGTCCCATTTCCATTTGATGAAACAGAACTACAAGGAGGTACCTTTTGAATTGTATCTATTGACTTTTTTTTTTTTTTTAAATTATTACTCATGTCAACAGTTTGGTGGAAAACATGGCAGGAAATCTTAAAATTTTTAGGTTCTAGGTTCTTTGCTATTAAAGAGTGTTGGCAAAAGGTAGTTTTTTGTCATGTGCTTTGCCATCCACAAAGAACTGTTAGAATAAGATCCATTTAGGATTTTTGAAAGACTACTAGTCTGTCTTGGGAATAAAGAGAGTAAGTAGGTATTTGCCTAGACGGAAGACTTTTCTCTATTTCTCCTTTTTTATCATTCACACAACTGGCTAATACTTCATAAAGTCTAAGGAAAAAACATAATTGTTTACCTGGAGATGCAGATAGTGACAACAGGATCTGAAAATGTATAAAATCTCAAAAACTGCTTAGTAGATCCTTTGCCATGGGGGATTATTGTGTGAATTATACAAAAGAGGTTTCTTTATATTTGAATATAGAGCATTTTTCTTTTTTGTAAGTTCACATATTTATGAGAACTTGAGTTAAGATATAAATAGTTTAGGCATGTGATTTCAAGTACATTGTTAGTTTAGTTTCAGTAAGAATAACAACTTTATATACTTCTTTATTGGAATCAATTATGATGTATTAAAGTGTAAAAGTAGTTCTAAGAGTTGTTTAATAAAGTATGTTTAAGCTGTTGGCGTTGTGTTATTAGAAACTGTTCACTAATGTGATGTCCATTCTGTTCGTAGAGTTCACTCATGTCAATATGGGTGTTCATAAAGCATTGCAGATACTAAGGAACAGAGTGGACTTACAGCATCTCTGTGGATATGTCACCATGTTGAATGCTTCCAGCCAACTTGCAAATAGAAAACTCAGTGATGCTTCTGATGAGAGAGGTTAGCCAATAGTTGGATTCTTTGAATTAAGATAATTGGTTTTGAGTTTAACCCAGTGTTATATGAAAAGCTGCAGACCTTTGTGGGGATGCTGAGTTATTGAATACTCAATATTCTTTCACTGAAGCATGAGGAAACATTTTAGAACATCATTTGGACAAATATCAGTTGTTCAAATGAAGAAAATAGGATTGGGGTACAGAATGGTTTGGGGTTTTTGGGCGCTTTACTGTCATATCTGTGTTTATAAGGCTTTGCATTAAGTTAGCTTTATAGGGTGATGGTTTCAAAACTCTAGTCTCTTTATACAAATGTTTCCAAAATTGACTTAATAGTTTTTCCCTTTCAACTTTTTCTGTCAAAAGGCACTATTGTCTTAATTATCTAGGTCTAAAATCTTACCTTTGTCTCATTCTTTCCTTTTTTCCACTATGTTCAGTTAGTTTCCAAGTTCTGTGGATTAGGCTTTAGATAAGTCTGTCATGTCCATTTCTTCCCCTTTCTCTTCATTTTAAATTCTCTGTGACTGCTCTTCTTGTCTGGGTCTTGAAGTTTAAACCTTAAACGTTTGCTGTTGCAACCGTTCCCTGCTTAGCCTTTCTGGCCTCTCCTTTCTATCTCCAATCTGTCCTACATATTGACAATAGCTAATTTTTCTTAGATACCACTTACTTTTTTTTTTTTTTAAATTTGAAAATCCATTTTCAAGTCACCTTCTCATGCTTACTGGTTGTTTCTGCTCTGGCATAATATTGGCATATATGTGGTTTGGGTTGCCATGATGCCAGTTCTTGTCCATTGACTTTGGGAGATCTTTCATTATCTCCCATTGATTGACAGTATTTCATGAGCCTCTTAGTTTGAAATTCTGAGGAAATGTGATGGATTACTTGCCATCCAGTAGATTGGATTGGCTCCCATCGAGATAGGTACTTACCCCTATCTCACTTGTCTTTGGCCAAATAGTTGACTGCCAAATATTATAGGGGCATTTTCTAGAGAAGCGGGCTATTAATTAAGCAGTCATTTCAAAGTATGTCTACTACAGCTGTCCTTTTTTATGCCATTCATTCCACAAACATTTATGGAATACCTGCTTAGGTGCTGGAGCAATTTAATAAGACCAGGCCAGGTACGGCCAGGTACAGGCTCACGCCTGTAATCCCAGTCCTCTGGGAGGGCCAAAGCAGGAGTATTGCTTGAGTCTAGGAGTTTGAGACCAGCCCGAGCAATATAGCAAGACCCTGCCTCTACAAACACACACAAAAAAAGAAATAAAAAAGACAATGTTGTTCCAAGGATTAAAACCCTGGAGAGGAGATGCATGAGTCAGTATACAGTGTGGTGTTATTGACTATGATGGGGTCTGCATAAAGCGCTAACACAGCACAGAGGAGGCCTCTTAGAGAAGGTGAAGTTTGAGTTTTGAAAATTGAAGAGTTAGGTAGACAAAAGATAATGTGTTTTTAGAGGATGGCAGCCTTTCAGGCAGAGGGAATTAGGAAACAGTAGTTCATTGTGGCCAAAAGAAAGAATTTGTTGGACAGTAGTAGAAGATCAGAGTAGAGAAATAGGTAAGGTCTGAGGGGTCTTGGAGAATCTTCTGTGCTAAAGATAATGAGTCAGAAAAGAACTTTGAAGAGTAATAACATAATCAGGCTGTGTATTTCCACAGGGGTGCAAATGGCTTCAGTAACTTGTGTCCTTCTTTTGAATTTGGTTTCTTTAGGCTGGGGTTTCTCAACCTCAGCACTATGTGCAGTTTGAGCTGGATAATTTTTTGTGGAGGATTGTCCTGTATATGGTCAGATGTTTAGTGTTCATTGAATAGCATCCGTGTCTTCATTCATGTCCCTTGGGGATCAAAATTGCTCCCCTGTTTAAAACCACTTCTTTAAGCCAAGGATTATGCATTTTCTTTCTGTCATCATTACTATTGTCTGAAGTCTTTTCTATGTTAGGACTGATTTATTGGCAGCTTCTGCTAACTGCTAGAATCCTAATAGTGTGTGTGTACTTTAATTATAAGGAGAACCTGATTTGGCTTCTGGCTCAGA